TACTCCTTTTATCTAAGAAAGAGACATAGCTCACTATCTCACCCCTTTCGAGCCTTCACTCAGTGAGACCTTCCCTGAATCCTGTGGTTAAAAGGTCAACCCTCCACATTCTCCTCTCCTCTTCTCAGCTGTTTTCTACAACCTTCATCATCATATAAAATATTTTATAGTTTATACTCAATGCTAAGTTCCACGAAGACAGGGATATTTGTCCATTTTGTTCATTGCTGTATACCCAGTGCTTGAAATAGTGCCTGGGACACAGTGTCTAATAAATGAATTGGATGAATAAAGGCGGTCAGCTTACTAACTGTCAGGAAATGTGCCAATTGCAAGGTATGCACTGGTTCACTCCTCTGACAGCATCATGGCTTCTCTGTGGTCAAAATTTCCCATTTGGATATCTCTGAAATAATTTTCATTCCAGAAAACATACCAAGTGACGTCTTTTTCATTACCAGACTTATGTCTCAGACACTTGCCAAGATAAGGACCCTTGTTACCAAAACCATCATAGATATGCCTGGCAGTGTAAAATAAAGCGTATTTTCTTTTTTCTTTTTCTTTCATTTTTGTAAAGTGAGATAAAATTGACATATAACATTATACTAGTTTCAGGTGTACAACATAGTGATTCAATATTTGTATATATTGAGAAATGATCACCATAATAAGTCTAGTTAACATTCATCACTATATATAGTTACCTATTTTTTTCTCGTTTTAAGATTTACTCTCTTAGCAACTTTCAAATATACAATATGGTATTATTAACTATAGCCACCCTGCTGTACGTCACATCCCCATGGCTTATTTACTTTACAGCTGGAGCTTTGTACCTTTTGACCCCCTTCACCCATTTCATACCCTCCCTACTTCCCACCTCTAGCAACCACCAATCTATTCTCTGTATCTATGAGTTTGCTTTTTTTGTTTTTAGATTCCACATATAAGAGAGATCATATGGTATTCGTCATTCTCTATCTGACTTATTTTACTTAGAATAATGCCCTCGAGGTCCATTCAGGTTGTTGCAAATGGCAAGATTTCATCCTTTTCTATGCCTGAATAATATTCCATCACACAAACACACACACACACACTCACACACACATATATATATACCATATCTTTTTTATCCATTCATCCAGCAATGGACACTTAGGTTGCTTCCATGGATTTCTTGGTTATTATAAATAATGCTTCAATAAAAATAGAGTGCATATACCTCTTTGAGTTAGAGTTTTCATTTCCTTTGAATAAATATCCAGAAGAGTAATTGCTGGATCATATGACAGCTCATTTTCAGTTTTCTGAGGAACCTCCATATCATTTCCCATTGTGGCTGCACTGATTTATACTCCCACCAACAATGCTCAAGGTTCCCTTTTTTCCACATCCTTGCCAATACTTGTTATTTCTTGCCTTTTTTATGATTGCCATTCTAACAAGTGTGCGGTGATCTCATTGATGTTTTGATTTGCATTTCCCTGGTGATTAGTGATGTTGACCACCTTTTCATATGCCTGTTGACCATCTGTGTATTTTCTTTGGAAAAATGTCCACTCAGACCCTCTGCCCATTTTTTAAATCAAATTCTTTGTTTTTTTGCTATTGAGTTGTATGAGTTCTTTATATTTTTAAAATATTAACTCTTTATCAGATATATGATTTGTAAATATTTTCTCCCATTCAGTAGGTTGCTCAGGGTATCTTTTCTTAAAAGTATATTTCCTAAGAAAACTCTAGAAGAAAGCAACAACAAGCCCTCTACCTTCTTTAAAATTAAGTCTAAGGGTTACTAATAAACAAAGTCAATAACAATGCCATTTTCTTGATTTTTCAATGTGCATAACTTGGTTTTTATCTGATTTTTGGCACCATGATTCCTACATTCTATGAACTTAGCAAAAACTAAATGACATGTTTCTTTAGGAAGAGTTCATTCCATCTCTAAACTTGTTTGGTTCACTTTTCACAATTTGAAAGAAAACTCAATTACAACAACAGTGGAAGAAACTAAAGAGAACTCAAAGCAAAGAATCATTTAATGAGCTACTTCTCTGATTCTGAAATGTCTTCTGTAAGTAAAGCACTGGTAAAGCTAACAGCTATTGAAACAACAGACTCTGGCTCATGGCCCACAGACCACCTTGTGGCTGCAACTGCTCTGTGTTCACCCAAACTCTTCTCTTCTACCTCCCGAGAGCCCATTGCCATTCCTCTTGCATCTGGGGACGTGGCTGTAGGATTGCAGGATTCTATCCTGTAGTTCAGGGTCCTTTTGCATGATTCAAGCTGAAGCATTAAGACCACTCCCACATGATCCTCTCTGCTACTGCATTTTCTGGCTGGATGTGGAGAAACCATTAAAAGACTCTGAGGTCCTAAAAGATGGTGGAGAAAGACTGGATCCCTGAATGACCACAAGAGAGACTGCTCGCTGATCCTCTGTGGATCAGGTATGGCAAGAAATATACTTTTATTGTGTTAAGCCATTGGGATTTGGGAGTTTATTATAGTAATTATTGTTACTTATCTCAAGTGAAATACTATAAGAGACTGTGCTCCCCAGAGGTGACTGGCACACACTCCTATCACAGGCATATCCTCCAGATATCTGGCAGGAGGCTCGTAAAGTAAACATACTGCACAGCCTCAAGAAAAGTTGCCTTTCAGCTGTTTCACTCAGTGACTACCACAGCCCAGCAGAAGCAAATTAAGACTTCCCAGTAGATTAAGGAATGAGTTCTTAAATATAAGTTGAAATGACTTGGAATGCAGTTGTTTAACGAATAAGAACCTTTCTTCATTCTTTAAATCAAATTTAAGCTTAACTGTCCCCTTTTTACTCCCAACAGTAATGACTCTAACAAGTATTTCTGAATCTTTCTTTACTGATCAGAAAAATCTTCCAAAGACTTCTCTGAACATCACTACCACACCAGGACATATTTCCTCTTAAAACTATAAAATAAATCCATTCACATAAATTTTTTGAATGTCTATTACGTCCAAAGCACTGAGATAATCCTGGAGGAAGTAAAGGAGGATATATGGTGCCTACTCCAACTCCTGAACTTAACTTTCAAACCCTTCCATAATTCAAACAGTGTTTTTTAATATTCTAATATGTGTACCTATAATGATCAAGAAAGGTGATTTGGGATTTTACGTGGATGCAGGAGAAGGTCGACGAGATGGAAATGGAATGATGAAGGGGTGAGAACAGAAGGGATGGGCTAATGAAGAAGGTAAGGTAGGACCAGCTATGAAGAAATGAAGGGATTGACAAGATATTCTGCTATTAATAAGATATCCAGCTATTAATAAGATATTCTGAGTTGTAGAGATTTGCCCACATCATACAGGTATTGTCCAGCTCCGTGGCTCCTGACCCTTCCAGCTTCGAAGCTTCTAGACAAGTATTACCTAGCTCCATGTCTATTGAACTACACTCCAACCCTGGAGTCTCTTGGACCAAGGCCAAGTTTACAGGGCTGAGGATCCTGGGAACAGCGCCAAGTCCTGGACCTGGGCCTGAGGAAGACCTGGTTAGACTATGATCTATGAAGGAACCCAGGCCCAGGTGTTCTGGTAAGAGAGAGATGCAGCCCAGCTTCTGATTCCTCACGACTCCCAATGGCACTATATAGATGGGGGTCTGCATCCTTGTTCCACTGCTTCTGAGCTGATGATGTTATTTACACAAGTCACTTCACTGCTCTGAACCTCTAGCCTCCCCAGCCTTAAAATGGGAATGACAAGAGGACCTATCTCATAGGGTTGTCATCAGAATTAAATGAGACGATGTATGTAAAGGACACGGCACAGTGCTTGGCACATAGTGAGCACTCCACAAATGGTAGCATTTTTATTACTTCAGTGCCTCTTGTATGTAATAGTCAAGGTTCTAAGGGAAAATCCTTCAATTTCATCTTTCCTTTCAACCAACCAAAAAATTAAAAACAAACAAAAAACTCCTCCATTATCTGAATGACCTGGTTATGAACTCATCTAAAGAATGCTCTGAAAATTTTTTTGAATACAATGAGATGCTTTAAAAACTTAAGAAAAGGCCTTCATGGGGTCAGCCCGGTGATACGGTGGTTAAATTTGCATGTTCTGCTTCAGCGGCCTGGGGTTCGCCGGTTCAGATGCTGTGTGTGGACCTATACGTTGCTTGTCAAGCCATGCTGTGGCAGGCATCCCACATATAGAGTGGAGGAAGATGGGCATGGATGTTAGCTCAGGGCCAGTCTTCCTCAGCAAAACAGAGGAGGATCGGCAGCAAATATTAGCTCAGGGATAATCTTCCTCAAAAAAAACAAAAAGAAAAGAAAAGGCCTTCATAAAGAGTTCTCCAAACTGTATGGCAGAAATGACTAAGAAATTATTTTCCCTCTACCTTATGGTCATTTTCAAATAACCTGACTCTTTGAAAGAATAGATTGTGGGGATTGCCTTGAGTGGTGTGAGATAAGTTTGTTAAACAAAAGTCACATCATTTTGGCTGGAAATTAATTCTCAGGGTCCAATCAGCTACGAGAGGCTGTTACCCTTTCAGCTGCTGCAGTGTCAGGATGTGTGTCTGTGGAGGGGTGGGGCAGCCGGCACAGCGGGAGGGGTAGGGGAGGGTTGGCATTCACAAGGCTCAGAGCAACGGCTAATCACCAGTCAGCATGAGAAGACTTAGTACTCTACCTAAATGGCTGTTCTGGTACCTACCAACTGAATATCAGCCTTGCTAGCTTGCCTCATATCCCACAAGGAACGGCTGATAACAAAGGGAAGTGAATTTAGAACTCTTCCTCTCATTTGCAACCTAACGCGGACTTTCCCCTTTGCTCCTACTGGAAGATCCTTGCATTACAAAGCCTAGGAGACCCATTCCCATTGCTATAGGATATAAATTTTTAAAAATGAAAAGAAGCTTAAAATTATTACTCTCTTATTCATGTATAAAACAGGTTGTAAGTCTTACCTGCAAGATTACTCACCTGAAAGAAAAGGCTTTCTGCATTCCGTAGATGCCCCATTTTCCCTTCACTGCACAGGCAGACAGTTCACCAAGAATACAGCTACATTTTAATAGGTCCTAAAGAAAACCAAAAAGATAGGTTCCTGTCAAATGCTCCTAAAACATTTTAGCTGTTTGACCCTGGATGGAACATTTGCCTTCCCTGGGGCTCAGTTTCCTCCTCTGAAAAGTGAAGGAGTGGACTAGATGATTTGCGAAGTTCTTTCCAGTGGTAACATTCTGAGATTCTCTCTGGAAGTCAATACCTCCATTAGCAGAGGATCATGAGGACTTCCAAGATAACCCATTCAAACCCAATCTAGTCCTGGAATCTCCACTATAACATCTGTTTGCCCATCTCCTTGACAGGAAATTTACCACCTCCCAAGGTGGTCCAATCAAACATCCAATAGTTATTTTCATCTGAAGCTTCTTCCTGCTAGTAAGTTGAAATCTCTCTGAAATTTCCACATATAGATCATGAAAACTGAATAGTCTATGTAATTACACCTCTCTATATCAGGATTACTGTACTGGATTTAACAACTTCCCTATCTAGCCTTAAAATAAAGTGTATATAAGTAATATAACCTTTGTATATTGCTATGGCTGAAGAGCAGGGACATCATTTCTTGAGTTATATGGTTTTGTACATTCTCTATACTTTTAGCTCTGCTTTCCACAGTGGGCTTCATTCCAACAAGCATAACAACAATCACCCAGATGTTCTGAAGCACACTCATGTTCATTACAGTATAGATGAAACACCTGTACGAATACCTGCATTTTCATGTGGATCTTGTATAGATACGCTTTAAGAATAAGTAAGAGAATAGGTAAGTAAAAGGTTATATTGTATATGCATATATTCATGAAGGAAGATATTCAAATATTTAGAAAGCACTGTGAGATTGATTCAAACACAGCATTACCACGAGGACTTAGTAAGAATATCTTCGAAACACATTAAAAACGTGAGAGAGTTCTTACAAACCAAGTTTTAAGCTAATGAGCTCTATTCAGTTAAACTGTGAATAATAACACAGTCATTTTTGTTTACTTTTGTTTGCCATATCTGTGGGCATCCACAACACTCCTATAAATGTCTAAATCCAAATCCTTCTTCATTTTGATCATAAACAAATCACTTTCCTAGGAATTTGGATTTGTCTACTTGGTTCTATACTTTCAAATCAACATTACATTATAACTTCTTATAAAGTCAGAAACAGCAGAACAACGTATTGAGCATCTTGTTTCTTGGAAAGTACATACTGAGCACAGTAACGTGCATAGTTAAGCATTTAATACACCTTTTTTTAGGTTATTCATACAGTGAGGAGTTGTACTCACAAGTGGTACTAGGACCAGACTTCAGCACTTCTGCGTCTCAGAATAACCTTAATCTACAACTAGATCAAGAAATGTAAGAGTATTTAGGAGTGCCTACCAGGTAAAAGGTACTGCCTAGGCAAAGCGACAAAGTAAACTTTGCTGTGAACATTCTGTTTCAGTTTCCCCATTTGTAAAATGGAAGTAACACCACCAAACTCTTCTGCTGATACTGTGTTTGTAGCCACCAGGGGAGGAAAAAATATATGAAAGAATAACAAAAATCTTAAAAAGGATCATGTAGACAGTAAGGTGTTAGATAGTTGCAATTATCGTTGCTATCCACGTAAGTACAATCCTTATTTGAATATTAACCTAAATGTCTGAATCCCAAATTTAAAAAAAGAATTCAAGCCAGAATTTTCTTGAGGACAAACTTTCTCAAGACATTTTAGAATTTCCTGCTTATTACTTCCAGCCAAAAGTACTGCAAAAACAGTCACTCTCGTAATCCTCTCACACCTCTGGTTCCAATCCTGGCCAGACTCGCAAATACAAAAAAGATGTGTGAAGATAGTCAGGGGAAAAGTTCAGTGGATGCTACTGAACTTCTGAAACAAACTTTGGGACAAAAGTGATGGTAGCTATTTTTTGGTAGTCAGTTTGTGGTTCTTCCATCTATTGAGATGGTCAATCTACCCCAATTTCTAGAGTTTTGGTGGTTAAACATTTTAATTGCCTCTAGTGTTTTCCTTACATTTGTAATCCTAATTCCCAGAACTGAAATCCTATAAGCATCTAAGGCAATGGAACATATAGGAGTATTCAAACCCTGCCAGACTTGAAAACAAGTTCAAGGCGACATATTTAATATTCAGTAACTTTAGAAATAGAAGCATTTGATAATAAATCATGTTTTATTTATTTCCTCTAACACCTACCCTAATAAGAATTCACAAGCAACTCAGGAGAGCGTGGAAAGGGAACAAGGGTCATCCTATTCTGAAGGACAATCTCAATGTTCAGTGATTTCCCTCTAGTTTGCACGAAGATCTTGGAGTGGAAAAGAAGTTTGTGGCAATCTTCTTCAGCCAAAGAGAGAAGGGCTTTGTAAGATAGACAAAAGGTAGGATGGGGAATAACATCAGGAAAAAAACAGAAGTTTTGATGGTGAAAAATCCCCACAAACGAAATGGAAACTAATATTCAGGTAGGTTAATTTTAGGTGTTGTCATTCTGTCAAGGGCCATTAGAAGTCAGCAGGTTGTTTAAAGGGAAAGGTTAGAAAGGTTAAGGGGAACTAAAAGCCTGCGATTTCCAGGAAACACGCAGCACACGTCTACCCTAGCACGCCTTAGGTGTATAATTAAAAGAAGAAAGCTTTAATGCTTTTCTAGTCACGGCAGGTAGGACTTCTGTGCTTTATTTTTTTACCTAAAAGAAGAAAAACAACAACAGTGAAACTAAAACCACCGAGTTCAATTCCATGGGCCAAATCCTAAAAATAGGTCAGACTCGGCGTTCTTACGGAAAGAAATACAAAGTAAAAAAGAAAAAAACAGAAGATCTGAACTGGTTTTCAAAGCCGCCTGAATTTAATGCCAAGTCCATGAGGTGGCTTGGTTTTCAGGGGCCTCTCGTGAGCTGTGTGGAGCTCTGTACAGTCACCAGTGACCAAGTTCACAGTGCTGGGACGTGATGGGAAAATAAGGTTATTAAAAAGCATAAGAGCTTAGTTCTTTATGCTCATGTTTAAACACACAATTTCAATTATTACAGAAAACTTCATAGCTGTGGTTTAGAGTTTTATATATTAGTTCTCCATAAATGAACACATAAAATGGTGCAATTAAACACATGACAGTTCATACTGTGCATTTTGAATATTGCTTTCAGTACGTTTTTCTGCATGTGTCATAAGGACTATCATTTAAAATAAAAGTTTATTTCATGTTTATGTGCCATGTAGATATACATGATAGGAAACACTTTAGGGATTATGATTCAGAATTCTTCTTCATTATCACGTCATCGTGTATAAATACTTTCTTTAGTTTAGAATAAACTCCAAGACAGAGACTTACACTGGAGCAGTTTTCCTAATGGATCAACTCAGATATAATTTTCTTAAAGATGATACATCCATGGAGATCAAGAGAGGAGATTCAAAAAGTCTCACGTCTACATTCATTTGCCTTCTAGATTCACCTTTTGGCAAAAATTTATTGAGTATCCACAACCGAGCCATGTGCTATGCTGGACATGAAGATGAATAAGGAAATCAACATGCATTAGTGGAAGGAGTTTAAAATAATTCATCTAGAATGCTTAACTCATTGCCTGGCACAGAACAATTCTTCCCAGTAAGTGGTAGCTACCTCAATGATGACAGTGATACCAAAGACCCTTCTGCAAGTGAAACATCCCAAAAATTCTATGCTTTTGGTTTTCACAAATATATTTGCTATTAATTTTATTTTTAATAACAACAAGCTTTCTTCCTACCAGGGAAAAGTGGTCAGACAAATGTACAAAAACATACAATACATACAATGAGTAACATGATTAGAGAGGTCAAAAAGTATTATGGTCGCTCAAAATAGGGTGTGGAAATGAGAAACGACTGCTTTCTTGTGGGATTAATATTTGATCTGGGTTTTGAAAGATGGGAAGTGGTTCGATAAGAGAGTTCAGCTAGATTACAGAATGCACACAGGGACTTGTCAGGCGATAAAGCGGCTGGTCTTGAACGCTAGGCCAAGAGCTTATTTTAGATTTTATTCACCAAGTAATAGAAAGCCAGTAAAAGTATTTGAACAGGGGAGTAAATTATACATATATATGTTTACATACATGCATGCATATATGTGTTTATATACATACATACAAATATATATATAAGTGTGTGTGTGTATATATATATATATATATATAAAATATATATATCGACGTGCAACATTACACTACTCTGAAATACTTTCTCCCTTCCTGGTCAGTAATTTCCTCTTACAATCTGGAAGGATGATGGTCTGGCTGCAGAGGGCAGGCTATGGAACGGGAAGCGCACATGAGGCTCTCTGAGGTCAGCCCTGCGTTCTGGCCTGCGGCAGGCTGGAACACACGTCGCCAGCGGGGATGCTGGGTGAAGACCTGGACCTTGCAGCGCCTGGAGACTTCACCTCAGGAGACCTGTGGATACCCTCAAGGCAGGCTGGAGACTGCCTGAGTGTGTCCCACGAGATGCCTAATTTGTTCTGGAGCACTTGCACAGGAAGGACTATTTAGAAGATTGAAAGGCTACCCGTGCTAGAGGCTGGCAAAGAGCTCCTGCTTAGATCTGGGGGGATCTGGGGGCAGAAAGATTTCCTGTCTGCATCTGAAGAGTTGAATGATTCTTTTTCTAGTGGTTGGCACGTTACTTTCCTAGGACTGTCATAACAAACTAGGTGGGTTGAAACAACAGAAATTTATTCTCTCCCAGTTCTGGAGTCTAGAAGCCCGAAATCAGGGTATTGGCAGGGCCACGCTCTCTCTCAAGGCTTTAGGGAAAGAATCCTTCCTAGCCTCTTCCGGCTTTGGTGATTGCTGGCAGTCCTTGCTGCTCCTTGGCCTGTAGATGCACCGCTGCCATCTCTGCCTCTGCCTTCACATGGCCTTCTCTCCCGTGTGTGTCGGTGTCCAAATTTCCCGTTTCTTAAAAGGATACCAGTCATCATATTAAGGTCCACACTTACCCAGTGTGACCT